GTGAGTTGGGGAAGCTATATATATATATATGTATGTATTTATTTGTGTATATATATATATATACACAATCCCGGTTAATGCTCAAATTCGGAAAGAAGAAAAATAAGATAAAATAAATAAATAAAATTTCTTTATAGATATTAATTTTGAAATATTGTGGTTAGGTTCTTGATCATCCTGTGACCCTAGCACTTGGGTTAAGCCTTCTGTGCGATTAAGGTAAGCAAATTATGGTAATGCCCTTCGATTTCAAAGCGTATTTTAAATTGTTTTTGAGATAGTTGTAAGGTTTAAATTGATTTTAAATTGATTTTAAATTGATTTTATTAGCATCGAGCATGATTGATTTGAAATGGAATTAATTTCGTTTTTATTGAGTAAAGCATGCCCACTTGAAATTTACTGAATTGCTCTGAGGATTTAAGATTGATTGTGAATTTCGGATTTTCCTGTAAATCCTGCATGATTTTGTCTCGGATATAGTCATGATTACTGATTACTGTGCCCGCTAGTGGAAGGTTTATAAACACTAGCACATGTCGACATGTTTACTGATAGGACCGGTCCATTCTGTAATCTTGCCAATGGGATAAAACATTGGTAACTACTATGCTCGCCAGTGGGAGGTTTATAAACATTGGCCATGACTTATAGATGAGACTACTACTGAATTTTCTTCTGCATTAACGATTTATCAGTTAATGTTTTGTTATGTTAAACTGTTTATCAGGCATGCTTAAATTTTACTCATAGGCTACCTATATTTTTATTTACTGAGATATTGTATCTCATAGTTTTTCCTTGTCCACCTATATTTTCTTCTGCATTAACGATTTATCGGTTAATGTTTTGTTATGTTAAACTATTTATCAGGCATGCTTAAATTTTACTCACGGGCTACCTATATTTTTATTTACTGAGATATTGTATCTCATAGTTTTTCCTTATCCACCATTTCAGCTAGTGAGACCCAACGCATGAGGAGCACGGGGGAGTGACGAGCTAGACGGCTAGGCATTTTTGGACTTAGATTTTTGTAGCTAGGCTATTAGCCACCCATGCTTGACTTAGAAATTTTTGTGTACAGAACTCCCTTAGTTATAGTCATGACTGTATAGATGAAGTTATAAATTGTTGTACATTTTGACAAAAAAAAAAGTTGGTAATTAGAAACTAGATATTTCTTGAGTTCTAAAATTTTTTGAATTAGGAATTATGAATTCAGTAAGTTCCGAGTCTTGTGCATTTGTGAGACCCTCTCACAAATGTACGGTGTTTGCCACGTCCACGGATTTGGGTTCTGGGGCGTGACACTATTTAAATGGAATTAAATCAGAAGAATAACATCAATTTTTTGGATTGATAGTTTAAACTTGCTACAAGTGGTATTTGTGAAAATGTATAATGAATACAAAGCAAAACATGTAAGGTTTATACAAAACCTGAAATTGGTTTTCAAAAAATATTCTCTTGCTAGTTTTTATTATTATCATACTTTTAAAAGTTGTTGGAGGACTTCAAGGATATTTTATGTTGTAACATTTGAATACATGATAATTATATTTATATAAAAGTCCTTGTAGAACTTTATAAGACTGTACCCTAATATGCCTGATGCATATGATGCTTATAGCTTATACTTGAAGCATAAAACAAAGTTTTAAATGCCTGAAACATACAAAATTAAAAGCAATATTTTTATATCAATCGATATAAAAGAACAAATGTAGTATAATCATTATAGTGAATGCCTTTTAAAAGAAGGGAAGCCACATTGCTCCATGTATTTTTACTAAGAAATTTTGCTATTTCTACAGAATATATAGATGGTTTCATTATCACTAGAACTCTTGAAGAATTTAGATAAAACAACAGCATATACTAAAGCATGACGTTGAGATGAAAAATCTCAAAATAATAAAAGTTTTTACTTGGCTTGAAGAGTAGTTACCAAGTTTGCTTTTTATCATTAATCAAATAATTAGTAAAAGATTTTGGGGTGCTTCAACATTGATAAAACTCATGTTTTGAACTCATAAATGGTGTTTGATCCCTTGACACACACACACACACACATATATATATATGGTCTTGACATAATGCTATATCACCATTGTCATAGAGAATGACATTTTTCATCTTTGAAAAGATATTTTTGGTCATGAAGTACCTATCATATTATATTGCAATTGATGCATGAATGTATTTGACTGAGAATATATACGCTATGATATAGCATATTTTATGAATTTATATTATCATACAAGGACTTGACATCTGTAAAAAGGAATTAAACGCATTTTTCTTATCTTCGACTTCAAGGGATAAAAGTTATATGATTACTATATTTAAAGCACTCAAAATCCAAGCTAATTGGATATATGGATTATAGATGTTTATCATATCCAATAAAAAATGATAACAGATATAGTATTTATACACATATATTCATATTGCTATATCCAAAAATTATTTAGAAATATATTTGCTCATTGAAAATGTGTTGTACCTATGATTTTGATGATTACAAAATTTATTTGAATGACTAACTTGTTCATCTAAGTGTGTAGTTTATCACCTAAAATATTGCAAAAGTAAGTAAACTTGAATTGCACTAAAAATGGACCAAAAATGATGAATTGGGTGCAAAGAGCTTGCTCTACATTTTTGCAGCCGACTTTGGTGAAGAAATTGTGCAAAGAGCCAACTTAGAACTCCACAATTGGCTTTATGGGTGAAAGTTTTTAAACCTATAGTTTGGCACGCACGAAAAACAAACACAAAGTTGGCTATATAACTTTGTCGCTAGCTATGATGGCGCATTTAATGCTCAATAGTCAAGTTCTTTAAAGCCTTTTTTTTAATCTTTTCAAGTCAAATTTTCTAATCCAGCTTTGTGTTTTGCTACCAGCTCTTCGAAAAAACAAATTGTGTAGGACCAAAAAAGCCGACTTCAAACATGAAAGCCGGCTCTAAAAAGCAAGCTCTGGAGGTAGAGTCAACTCTACTGACAAATATACAATGAGCTAAAATTGATCTGTAGAGCATTTAATAAACCCCAATGGCTAGAAATGGCTATTTTTTACCAAAGGCATATAAATATGGTTGGTAGAATATCTAAAACAAGTTTTATCGGGTAGACATTGAAATCTTCTCCTTTCCTACTGCTTCTTCTCCCTCTCCTTCCTCCTTCCCCTTCTTTCCTCTATTTCCTAAACCATCGTTAATAGCCATCAACCAAAGCATATCTTCTTCTTGCCGATTTCATTCCTCCTGATGCTGCTTTTTCTTTTCCCTCTCCTTCCTCCTTCTCTTCTTCCTTCCCCTTCCTTCCTTTATTTCCATCTGGTTTAAGACTCAAACCAGATCTAATGGAATTCAAAAATTTTTTGAAAAAATTGTTGGGTTTTTTTGCTTCTTTTGTAGTTTATTTTTAACGGATTCAAATATGTGTTATCAAATTTGCTTTTTTATTTATTTTACGATATAATAATATGTTAATAATGAAATTAATTGAAGATGGCAAAAAAATGATATTAATTATCATTAATTACTAATTAATTAAGAAAATTAATAGCATGACCAATATTTTCCTTTCTTTTCTCAGATACCAACAACCCAACACTACTGCAGGAATCGGATATTCAGACCGAACTATCGGTCCGGATATATTATAAATCGGTCTGAATATTATATACGGACCGATATTGGTCCTTATACTTGATCTGAAAAAACTTCGTACGAATAAGTATAATATACAGACCGACGTATAATCGGTCCGTATATATATACTATCTGGACCGAAATCGGTCCGGATATTTCAGTAAGAAATATAAATGATTATTGAGAAATTGAAATAAGCGGACCGAAATTGGTCCCAAAAAAATAATATAATAAAATAATAAAATATGTACGAACCGACAACGGTCTGTAACTATGGCGGAAAGAGGCATCGCAAATATATACAGACCGAGATCGGTCCGAATATGTAGGGCCCAGCTGCAACTTTTAAAACTTCCAACTATATCCAGATCGTTTCCGGTCCGAATATATTGGACTTGCATGCAACTTTTAAAAGTTCCGTATCCCAACGAGCGCCATTCTCAAACTATATCCAAACCGTTTTCGGTCCGAATATTATGGGTTTACTTGTAACTTTTAAAAGTTCCGTCTCTCCACCGGCGCCATTCTCAAACTATATCCAGATCGTTTCCAGTCTGAATATATTGGACTTGCCTGCAACTTTTAAAAGTTTCGTCTCCCAACCAGCGCCATTCTCAAACTATATCCAGACCATTTTCAGTCCGAATATTGTGGACTTGCTTGTAACTTTTAAAAGTTCTGTCTCCCCACCGGCGCCATTCTCAAACTATATCCAGACCGTTTTCGGTCCGAATATTGTGGACTTGCTTGTAACTTTTAA